CCACCATGACCCAGGATCCCATTTCTGTCGCCATCCTGGGCTGTGGGTCCCTGCCCCAGCAATGCCATGGGACGTGCCCCTTTCCCCTGCCCAGCGTGGGCCCTACTGGTGTTCTCCCTGAGGATGATCTGGGAGGAATGAGCTGTGCTCCGAGTGACCACGAAGGTATTAGATTAAAACCAGGCTCCTGCTGTGCTGCAGAGCTCAATTCCTCAGCCGGTCGCTGGGTAGCAGCACAAAGAAGTGAATTTCAGCTTTGCCTCCCTTGTTCAGGCAATAAATGCGAGCAAGAGCAGGGAAGGGAGCCAAGCAAACAACACGGCTTCGGTGAGTGAAATTCAACCTGTCTTTCTCTGACTGAGGAAGCCCTGCTGGGATAAATGCCCCAATCCATCTCTTCTCTAAAACAGGAGCTGAAAAGTGGGTTAGATCCTGCTGCTGGCAGCGCTGTAGTTGCGGAGATCTCTGCTAGGAGCTGACAAATTACTGTAGTGATCAGAAAATAATCTTTTCTTCTCACACCAGAGCTCACTGAAATCAGTCTCCTCGCACAGAGGAAAGGGGTGGGCAGCCAGGAAGGGTGGGAGGCAGCAGGGCTTGGTACCTGCAGAACCTCATAGCCTGCCCTGATCTTGCTGAACTCAGCTCCAAAGTCACCCCGGTTCACATCTGTGTCCTCATGTCACCTTTTCTGGGTGCACTACTGGTATCTTTTTCCCTGAAGTGGTGAATTATTTTCCCCTTCCATCCTTAATAACCAAGGCAACGTACAAAAGGAAAGGTGAATAAAGTTAAATTCAAATGCCAAATGGGAAAGCTTAGAGGTTTTAAAACTTGTTTGTTTTATGTAAGTACTTATTGGAAACTGGCACAAACAAGTCACTATCAGCTCTGAGATACCAGCGCAGATGTGACAGAGTGGAAAAGCCTCTTCCCTGCCAAAGCATTAGCTGGAGATGCGATAAGGAGGTGCCATCGTACAACTGTGGGGAAAGGTTCAGAGCAGAAAGGGGAAATGGAGGAGGCATCCAGGGGATTCAGGGCTTAAGTACAAGAGCTCCAATTTCAAATATTGGTACTGACATACTTTCAAGGATTTCTGCGAATTCCATTCATCGGTGTCACATTTTCCCCTAGATGACACTACTACCCTGATTTTACTCATAGTAACAATGAGTGTTTTGCAAACACAGTTGAGTTGTAATGGCAAATACCAAATACAATTTCCAATAGCATCATTTTACTATAAATCCCAAAGACATAAAGCATCCTGTGCCTCACCCTCAAAAGATGCTCTTACTTGTTTTGATTCTGAAATGAGAAGCTGGTGGTTTTCTGTAGCTAAGGGAGGATGGGGAAATTTGGGCTGCATTCCTTCGTTCTCAAAACTCACCTCCTTTTTGTCCTCTACCAAAGAAAACCAACCAAAAATTATTCAGTAGACAAAAAAAAGCACCAAGGCAGTAACTGCATCTTTAGCCTGACATGGTAACAACTCTCCTGCATAATCCCTCTAAGAAGCCTTCAGATTCAAAACACAGCTCAGTGAAAATCAATCCCAAATTGCTTGAGGATCTATCTGAAGTCATGCAACCTTAAAAACCAAACTTAAACAGTAATTTATCTTGCTAGCCTTTACTAAGCACATCTGAGTAGACAGGTTGATCAGGCAAAGGAAGCGCTTTAACCATCCCAGTGACACCTCAGTTGCTTTCTCCACTCCGCGTTCCTATCAATCGTTATTCCACTTCAAGGTTTAAATAGAGACTCGCGCTTTGAAGCAGCCTTTGTCTGAATGCTTTTATTTTGCAGTGTCTTCAGATTTGCCTTTGCAGAAGCCTCCTCAGAGGTGACCCTGGGCCAGGGGTGCCCATAGCTGCTTTCATGTATCACAGCCAGCCTGCAACCCAGCGCCTGGGTAAGCACAGCGAGTCAGCTGCTCTGCTTTCCTCCTCTCCTCTCCCCTTTCCACTCCCTCCACCGGTGCTTTTAGCTCATTTATCTGCCTATTGGGGCGATATGCAATCAGCACAGGAGTCCTGATGGGAAATACAAAGTGATTCTTTAGAGCGGTTGGCTTTGAAAACCATTCTGGGCGCTGATCAAGCGAGTGTTACAGCCGCCCCTTTCGCTCACTTTGCCTTCTGCCCCAAGTCTGTCAGCACCAGGCAAACTGGAAGAGCCTTCAGGATGTCCACAGGCCTATCTCGCTTTAGTAAAATCTGGTATTACTCATGTCAGCATATGACACTCATGTGATGTGAAGGTAAAGAGACCGACTCATCCACATCACTGTCCAGGGGACTCTGGTCCAGTCTCTCTTTAACAGAGACCAAAAATACACATCTATTGACTTTGAAAAAGTGGTACATTCACTGTAGTTAAGAGATAATGCTCTAAACCAAAGTAACAAGTGCTTTCATTCACATGTCTGTAATGCCAACACTGCCAAAAGACTGAGAAAACCATTCATTCCTATCTTACAGGAAGTGGAGCCACTCTCTAATTAATTACACTTGCACAATAGCACTGAAACCAGGTTTATCACAGCTCTGTGCTTCCCAAAGGACTTAACATGCTGTGAACAGAGCTGTCCCATGGGACAACTGAGACACAGGAAAAGGTCCTGCCGTTTATCTTTACACAAAATTCTTGTTTAAATAAATGGTTTTCCACATCTGCTTATATGTCCTTCTTGGCAATCCAATCCTATTATTCATCTTCTTCCTTCACAGCAGTGAGAAAAAGAATAATAATTTCTTCCCAAGTTTGGATTCTGAAAAGACTTTTTTCCATATGGAGGAGGCCAAGTAACTGCGGAACATGGAGATCTCCTAACATGAAGGTGGATGTAATGCTGAAGAATTTGAGTCTACCCAAAAACCAGCCTGTAGAAGTGCAAACACAAACCATCAAGAGGGAGGAGCAGGCTGATGCAGGAATACCTACAGCAGAGCAGGCAACTGGAAACAGACCTGGGCAGAGACAAAAAAAGGCACCAGCACAAAAGCCATTCTGCGCTGCTGCCTGAAGTGAGCCTACACCATCTGTTCCAAATCAGGACAGCATTAACTGGGTCGGTCCAGCAGATGCCAATAGCAGTGTCTTCCAAGATACATCATTTTTGTGGTCAGTTTCAGGAATAAATTTTCTGTTACAAGTAAACAAAAAAAATCCCAACCCTTCACTCTGGGTAACAGCGTAGAAACTGATAGCAGGAATTAAGAGCCACAGAGAGGCACAGGTGTCTCACACCTACCAGCCACAGTGTAACAGCATCAGCACACAGAGAGCCCGCACATCCTCAGTAGGAATACTCACTCTTGAAAATGCTGCTATGGAAGCAAGAGGATGTGATAATTGTGATGAAGATGTTTGACTTCAAGTTGCTAACTCCAGCCCCTCATACTTGGTGTAAAATTAGTCAGGAAAAAGACTCAGAAGGCCAAAAAGCACACATAATTCTGTAACAATTCCACTGCTAGAAGCATTTGCCTGCCAAACAGAATCCTCACATTTACTCCAACTTGTACAAGGCATTAATTCAGGTTCAATATTTGCAAGGGCTGTAAAAAGACTTTTTCACACATCTACTCAAACACGGAGCGGAATCTTGGGAATGAGCACGCCAATCCAGCAGTTAGCAGTTCTTGTGATAAGGAGAGCTATCATAACACACCATGTGAAATAAAAACAATGCCACATTTCAGTGAATGTACCGAAAGAACTGTGAATCAGTATAAGAACTTCTTTCTTATGATGCAGTTATTTCTCTCAGAAGACAGAAACAGAACCAAGCGACTTCACATTACAGAGCTCATCCCTCAAAGGCAAAGATCTGTTTAAACATCTACCGATCATTAAAGAAATGCTTTCCCAACAAAAAATGGCACTGAAGTTTTCAGATGAGCTATTCTAGGGGGCTGGGGAATGATTCTTTACACACGATGCAACTTTTTTAAATCCTAGATGTTTGGCATGGTTTTTATTTTAGTGCTTATAATGACACCAGTGTGCCTGCATGTAACCACATACTTCAATATCATAAATACCAAGCAGATACAGCAAAAGCAGATCTGGTAGGACTCAAGGGAAAAAATGCAAGATGCAACTTGCCTTTCTGTTGCCAGTACTAACACTTGCATTTCTTGGTATTCCAGAATTCAAGTAACAAACGTGTACTTACAACTCTGCAAATGCAAATGCATTACAGGAGACCACATAGAGAGGAACCACTTCTGCTCCTTGAGAATTCGCACCACCAGGATGCAAGAACAACCTCATACGAGCAACGTACACAGAACATTCACCAAAGATACTACAGACAGGTTTCTCAGATTAGCAGCTGTGGTACTGAAAAGAAATGCTCAGAAAGAACATAGAGGCTTCATGTAGGTTCTTTATTTAATAATAAAAAAAATCAGAAAACCTCGAGCAGAATGTAGGTAGAAATATCTTTTCTAAAAATCATTCTCCAAAGTACGTATGCTGCAAGAGCCAGAGCCAACCCTCTCTCACCAGGTAAATTCTGCTTGCAAGATTTAAATCACAACAGCCAGCTCTGCATCACGAAACGAGCTTCTCTGAAGCCCGAATTGAGAGCACGTGATATAAGCTTAGTATAGTCATTTTTTACAATAACTTCTTTTCAGAAATGATTAACCTGGAGGCAGTTCATCCCCCAGCATTATACATCTGGGCATTTCCATAATCTGACAAAAACTAAGAACAGGGAAAAAGGAGCAAGATAAAAATAACCTGAAATATGCATTTGCAAAAATGTTAAGTTATGGGACAAATAAGTAGTAGGTGCATGAGAAAGCAAGGTGCCTTTTTTTCCGCCTTTTCCCCCCCCACCTCCCCTCCAAATTCAGCTCTCGGGAGAATGGCAGCTTAATCCTCCCTAAAGAAAGCTCCGTAGAAACAGGAGTTAAAACTGGCAGGAAATCACAGTTCCCACTCCAGCCCACCTCCTTTGAAATATATGTTCTTCCTTATATTTATTTATGGCCACTGCCCTCAATCATCCAGTCTCTAAAATGCTTCTCCATAAAGTTTCTGGCTCTCCAGTCACCAACATTTACGGTGGGGATGATTTTCTGTGGCTTCAACCATTGAACAAAACGCTTCATTTCCAGGTAACTGCTGTGTTCGCTGTAAGGAATCCCTGAAATGAAACAAATCACAGGGATTTGTCAGCCTGCTTAGCTTCTTGCCAAAATGCTTCTGCAAACCTTCCAGCTAAGAAATACTTCTGATAGTATTTTTTTAAAAATTCATATTGGAGATCTAAAGTTTATAACCAAGGTAAAATGAAAATCCAGATTTTCCTTCTGGAAAAACTACATTTCATTATGTTACCAAGTCATTCAGCAGTGTAAACTGAGCAACAGCAAGCATTTCGTTAAATTAACATTAAAATTTTAAAAGATTCAACTCAATCCACCAATAAGAACTGAGAGGAAGAGGAAGACTCACAGTCTCTCAAATGAGTGAAGTATGGACTGAAATCTTGGCTCTGAAACTGCACTGCCACCAGCATCAGTCAGGCCAAGATTTCACCCTTAAGCCTCCACAAATATAAGAGAAAAGCTTTTATTTGCAAGAGGAGGACAGGAGCAAAATGTATGTGGAAATCTGTATTTACAGTGTTCTTGATTACTCAGTTCACAGATCTCTCCTAGAGAGAACCATCTGTTCAGTTTCTCAATGAGTTATCAGAAAAAGCATCGGTTACAACAAAGTAGGAGCTTCCAGAATAGAAACATGAAAAGTATCCACACAAAATTAAATGCAGTTAATCTTTACCACTCTTATACCGTATATGGTGATCTTTCCTCTCTTCTGAGGTTTGATATCCACCAGAGAACGGCATGAATTGGAGTAGGTCCACCCAGTAGGTTTGAAAGCCAGAACTTGATCAAAATTCTGAGAAAACTTGTTCAGGTGATCTTGTAATGCCTGTGAAATAAATATAAGATGGTGAAAATCGGCCTCAGTGCAAAATCAACGGATTAATTTAAAATGCCACAGACATCCTGACATCTGCCTATGGCCAGAAGCACTCAGAATTAATTAAGCAAGCTACCCAAAAAATTGCAGCAAGTCAGTGCCTGAGTTGTGTACTGCTCTGAGCACTAAACCATGTTTTACTACATCTCCATTCATGATAGGAAGGAAACCACCTCTCATCCCTTCACTCAAAAAAACCCTCAACTTGACAAAGTTTCCACGCTGGCTAATGTTGTTTAAGGTAGGATAGAGAAAAGGATGAGACGGAAGTATAAGGAATGTACAATCCTATTCCTGGATGAAGTGAAGTCAGTATTGTTTGAAACCAAAAACAGAAAATCAATTTCACGTGTACTGTATGAAATCCTAAAGGCACATTCTACATTTGAAAGCCCTACAAGATTATAGAACTCAAAACCATAAAATTTATATTAGCAGCAGGAAGAAGAATGCAAAATAAAGACTGATTAAAAAGAGGTGGGTAGAGGAGGATAGACGGGCTGCGACAGAACATTAACCAACCTGTCAGATACCTGAAAATTACTAAGCAAGGAAGTGGAAATCTGCCTGTGACACTGCACCTTCAGTACCATGTCCAGCAGCAACATACAGAATCCATCAAACTGGACACATAATGACCAGCAAAAAACACTACCACACCACACGTTTCATTCAGCAACAGGAGTTATGGCTGGCTGCCATGACTCTTAATACACTGCAGACGTTCAGTCCCCACTAAATTAAAGATATAACTGTAGCAGTCAATTCTTCACACTTCATTTTAGGAAGATTAACATAGCTTAAGTTAATAATTCACATATTTTCTTCCCTTGCTTTAATGAAATCTAAATACAGAACTTCAAATGCCATGGTTATTGTATCAACCAATGCTAATCTGCTTTCAAATTTTGTTGTAAATCAACTGTGCAACATTCACATTAAGGATGCCATCTCAATCTCATAAAAAAATGGTTCTGTTTCAATCACAGGCACTTTTGAAAATCTCACCTCAGTGCTAGTACACGACACTGAGCTAAGCAACATAAAAGAGGTGCACAGACCTGAAGACCCCAGTTCTCTGGAAATCTTCCACTGCATATTCAAGTGGCAGAAGCCTTGATTTTTGAGTTACAAAAAATTGTTTGTGGCAATAGAACCATGCATGCATTTTAGAAAAGATGGCCTCTTTCCACAAAACGAAGTACTACAATGTCTATTTATAATAGGTCCATTTTAAATACACATTCCAATTTCTTCTTTTACTGCTTTAGCCACCACTGCTCTAAACCTTCAGCCTTTTAAAATGGAAAATATTTCATTGCTAAATCAACTTCCTTCAATCATCGTAACAGCCTGTTACCTACGCTGTTGCTAAAGTCAGCAGTACAGGCAAACAGTCTCTGTAAGGTATGAGAAGATTCAAACATGATTAAATGGTTAATATACAATCAGTCCTAACACCACTGAAACTCATTTAGCTTACTCACAAACAGCTATTCATTGTACACACAGCAATCCCTGTATTCTATTGAGTAAAACCAAGTAATTTAATATATAAAACTCATCCAATCCAACAGTAATACACCCCCACATAAAGCTTATTCCTCTGCCACTGTATTTTCACTGCCTCAGATCCCCTGCGGCTTGTTCTTTCTAGTTTTACCCTTCAGACTTCACACGTCTCGGCCAAACACTCACTTACTTCAAGCAGTGGTTCTTTTCAAGGGGGGACTCATAAGCCTGGATAAAATACATCAAGTCTGGTGATACCTGGCCAGGCATCCAATATGATGAATGGGACTGCTTTCATGCTAGCTACAGATCCAGACTACTTATATGAATTTATAAAGCAGAATAGATAAGTTTTCTTCTCAAATTTTAACTTGTTTCTTCAACAGATTCTTGGGACAATGACAACTCCTGACGCAGCAATAGAAAATTGCCCAGAATTCAATATTCAGATACGTGTTTGAAGATAAAAAGTGACGGAAACATTCAAGCCAGGAGTACAGCTTCCCTCAGCATGGCTGGCTGTGTATAGAAAGATGCACAGCACAACACAAGACTGCTCCAGCAGAAAAGGGAAACACACCGTACATTATTGTAACCAAGTCTTTGGCCAAGAGGAAAAACGAGGGTATAGCACATATTATGAGGAGGCTGTAGGTGTACAAAAATTACCTTTCAACCTGTCAAATAACCATTCACTGATCCACCTGTTTGTCACGGTGGATTTATCCCAGACATGGTCACTATTAATTTCTGTTTGCTTCAGTTCCAGGCAGAAGGTACCAACATGAGTCTTTAAACTCTAGTAACTACGGGAAAAACAGAGTTTCTATACTTTTCTAACTATTTGTGTCTTTTAGGCGAATGACACACTCTGCTGAAGCAATACAGTGTTTCTACATCATACATGAACAGCTAAGCTAGTTGTTAACAAATAATAAAACAGCTGACTCCAAAATGAAAAAAACATGCTTGATATTACTCCTGAAAATCAACATGGAGAAAAGCAGATCTCAGACAGCTCCAAAACTGGAATTAAACAGCTGGGCAATGCCACCAAAAGGAAAAAAAGTATTCACAATGTAGTGACTGCAAAAATACTTCTATAATTCCTGAACATGCATTCAAAAAAATATCAAATTAAAAAAAAATTAAAACTCAGCAATCTAGAGACTCAACGATCAGGAAAAAAATAGGCCCTGATGACAGCAGATAGCCTGTGAACAAAGAAGTATATGCATGAGCAGCTCAAAAGCATCAACTCATTTCCTTTCTACTCTGGTAGCTGTGGGCATCCAGATTTAGTCTGGGGGGCAGTCAGCTATGGAAACACAGAAGCTTTCCTTGGGCAGATACAGTTTTACCAAGAGTTACTGCAAACCCAGCTTTAGTTGTGGTAAGCACATGTAGTTCATGCAGCGTTTTTGGTGTTCTTTATCTAGAAACAGACCACAGAAGTTTTTCAATAATAAAATGCAGAAGAATAAAGCATACAGCCTTTAGAACTATGAGGCCTGGAGCACAAAAAGGTTTGTTTTGGGTTTTTTTCTGTAAGTAAAAAAGAGGGGAAAAAAGGTATAAAACTGGGGCTTCTAAAAGATACTATAATATAATATGAGGTTTGGCTATTTGCATTCTACTAAAAAGGCAACTTGATTACAAGATCACAGATGTACTCAATTTACTAAATAAGGACTGAATCTGAGCTTTGCACTGAGAATACTCCCACAAGGATTTCACGCATTTGTAGGTTCACAGCTGAAACCACACAAGCAGGAAATTAGCCCAAATTAAGAAGCATGATTGTGTTTCCAAGTAGAGCTAGGAATCAAATAGAACGGAAGAGGTAGGAGAGACCCAGAAGATAATGAAGGCACTGGCATTTAGTGATGACGATCACTAAAAAATTCTGGCTTTCCCAGTAATGAGCCAGTAATTCAGGAGAAAACTGGTACAATCCAGCACGACAGAGTAATGCAACTCAAGACCATGGCATTGACATTTGCATGGTCTGTAAAAACAGGATGGTATCGTTCCTCATTCTTTAACTAGACAGATTACAAGTGATCAGATAATTTATTCTTAAAAATACTGTCTTTTCTGAGCTCATGTCTACTGATGCTGCTGGAGCAGAAATAAGACAAATGGTCATATGAACTCATCTTCAGGCAATTAACATTCTCCACATTTTACTGCTACCTCATTCTACCAGACATTCATCTAGCTAGTGGCCTCATTGGATATTTAGCACCCAAAGTCTACTCAGCATGCATAGCTTAGGTGGACACAAGGTTAGTAATGACAGAGAGCGTGAGACCACGCTCCAACAACTTCACACACGAAGTCAAAGCCTCAGTACACAGGGCCACGGCTGCTACACCACACTCCTGTCCACTACATCACTGTGCCTTTAATCTTTCCTGGCCCTTTCCAGGGTCCAGGCATAGCTTCTGGCACACTGGAGATTTGTCTGGAACCTCCTGTTCTCAGATGTGAGACCCTGCACATGTTACAATCGCCCCTCTCTGAGAAGTATGGGTGCCTGGACATCCTTGTGGTATAATCACACCCTCTGCCTGGAAGTCCAGCTACGCAAGTACACCATACATGCTGAGACACATGACAGCAGAATCACATAACCAAAAAATCTGCAGAGGAAACTATAATATATTACTGTTTTAGACAACACAACATATTCAAAATAAATCCATACACATTTCCATTACTCATTTTCTGCCCCACCGTGGAAAAGATGATAGCACGTTAAAACATTAAGATACTACATTCCACCTCCTGCAGCTTCCATCCAAACTGCACAGCCTTTTTTTCTCCTTTTTAGGTCAACTCTGACCTTGACCGGTCCTGCAGCTAAATACCATCTTGTTCAGCAGCATTTGCTGAGATGGCACAGCAGGCCTGAAGCAAAGCAGGAAAATGAGTCCAAGTCTGTAAGGCATAAGCAACCACTGTTTTTCTTTCAGGTTACTTTTAATCTAGAGCCTGCTGCTTTGCCTTAATGCCACTGTGTCTATTTAGAAAAACCTTCTTTGCCCCTAGGAATCAGTCACCTTTCCTAACTAAGAAATTCCCACAAAAACTCTTAACAAAAACCCACTGTCTCAAAGCTCAACTGAAGCGTACATTTGAAGTCAACTTCAGACAAAACAATGTCTTAAAATAAACTTTTGCTACAAATACTAGAGCAGATTGTGTGTGGAAAAACTAAACGATGTGTATATATGGGCTGTACTTCAATTCACCCAATGTGTGTATTTGTTTATGTGTGAGTTTTCATTGATTTCCAAGTATTCTTATCCCCATGTAAATCATCAGCACAGAAAGAAAGTATTATTTTCAAAGATGAAAATACAATTATAAATACATGGTAATTGAACTAAGAACATGGAAAACGCTACTCCTTTTTTATCAGACATGCGACTGGAAGCAGACCATGTTCCAAGGACTACCTCAAAACAGGGAAATTCACATGCAGAAAGTCTTTTTAGTCTCTTCCCACATCATACCAGGTAAAAGACAGGTTCAAAACAGGGACTCCATGTCACAATATATTAATTGCTAATAGGACAGATCCTGCAGTCATTACATAAACCTACTTCAAAAAGGACCGCACAGAGCAAGCCTTTGAACAAACCTCATCTTATCTTGTACAAGCACTGCATTGAAGTGAAATTACCCTTTCAGTGCATCACATTTGGAGACAGATATTAAAGTTTAATTGCATTTCATTTTCAATGTATTGCTACATGTCAAAACTTTACTAAATAAATATGATCTGACAAGAGGTTAAAAAGCACCAAACACTACACCAGGTGGGAGGAGCCAACAGTAAGATTAGCCAGCAGGTTAATCAGAGTGTATTTTCTGAGCTTACCTTAAAATTAATTTGCATCATGGGGAGAACGTGAAGCAAAGTACCATTCCAGTCCACACTGATGAGGGAATTAACTGCTGCTGACTCCAAGCACTGCAGTATTTTGTACTTATCACGGGACATACTTGCTTTTGAGCCCAGAACTTCAGCAATTGCTTTAAGATGAATTGGGAAGAAATCAGATAAAGAAAATGTTAAGAGTTTATCCTTTGCTTATTTTGGAGATATTCCTAATTATTGCACTGGATCCCTTTGAAAAAAATCCATATTCAACAGAATACAGTGTTTTATGTTCCAAAACTAAGAAGAGAAACCTGTAATGGCTGCTAAAAAGCTCTGTTTCCTACATTTTAGCTTGAGACTTGTGTACAACAAATGGAAAGAGGAAAATAAATGTACATTGTTAAGCTGTAAGTTATATTTCTTTGGTAGAACCAAGTTGCCAACGTGAACTGGTATTTACTTCAAAGAAGCCAGAAACACATGCAGTTTTTGGATTGTGCAACAAACAGCCCAAACTAAAGACAGACTAAATTTCAGTGCAAGCAAGTCTTGAGCTGATGACTTTATACTCAAAAGCACAAATGGTACACTGTCTGCTCTGAGCATATTTGGGCAATCATGTTGGTTACTAATGCTGTAACTAAGTGAAGCAAAGAACACAAGATTTTCATTAAGCCAGAAAAGATGTGTCTTGGTTTGGGTAATGCTTTCTTAAAAGTGATTTTGTTAAAACTGATTACTGATTATATAGTTAGGAAAATACATAATATAAGCCTGGAAGGAAAAACTGTTAACAAAATAGAAGTTTAAGAACAATTGTATTCCTTTGCTGTTTCTTGACAACATGTTATTAACACCATAAAAAAGACCTCATTTATGGTTTGGGTTTTTTTTTTAATTGCTATTAGCAATTTTCTCACCACAATCAAATAAATAGGTTCATTCATTTAGTATCCAATTTGCCTTCTATATATTTGGGGGGGATTTGTAAACATGGTAGAAAAATATTTATTTCAGACAGTTAAAAAAATAGCAGAAGGATGATTAAATATATTTAATTTCTTTATACAATATCTGACCACCAGTCAAAAGACTAAGTGAACCCTTATATCTTCATGAAAAAGGTCTTTCAACAATGACTTAGCTATTTAGCTATTTGATCCAGTACACTTCTTTTACATACCTAAAAAAACCTTTTCTTTTCCGATGGAGTAGGTACCACAGACAACTAGAGTGCGCGGGTTTAAAGTCACTGTCTCAAAGGCAGTATTGACAGCAAACTGGATAACCTCTTGTTGAGAGGGAAAAGTGTATTCAGGACTACAGTATCTGCAGCATGGAAACAAGATATACCACTTTGTTACACAGGATAGAAGACATCTGGATTTACCAAGAAGGTCCTCAAAACTGCATGCATACAGTAACAAAGTAATGAAAAACATCTTATCCTTCTATATAATTTCAATCTACTTGTAATGTATTTATTAGAAACCACTGAGGTGCCCAGATGAAATTGTTGCAGTAAAACTTACATTAAGTATGTCAAGTCTTTTCTCTACCACTACTGACTTGTCTGACACTCAATGCTCTTTCAAGCTAGATATTTGTACCATGTACTAATTACATCCTTCTGTCTATTTTTTGTCATGCACACAAACCATAACATAAGGCATTATTAATTCACAGAAACATATGGAACAGAAATAGAAGACTGCAACTGGGCATTAGTCATCATACACAGAAAAACAGTTTATATACATGAGTCAGAGAAAGGTCTAGTGAAAACCTGGACAACTCATTTAACCATTTGGCATTTCTCACTCTTTGAATTCAAGCACACTCCTTTTCATAACAGAGCTGAATCCACACAAACTCAATGTTCCATGAACCACTTTAGACCTGACCACTCAATGTATGAATCTTGACACCCAGAAATTAATAACACCTATAAATAACAAGGCCATCTCAACAAATACTTTAGCATCTTTTCCACTACCCACTTTTATTCTCTCATGTAACAGCATAAGAGATGAACAAGTTAAACATACACAGACTTTCAATAAATATCTGATTGTATTTAACACTAAATAGAGCTAATAGTATTAAAACAGTAATGTCATTTATACTTACATTTATTTGGTTTGTATAAAGTCTTACTAGACTGAAAAGAGTTGAAAAAAAATTAAACACAACTTACGTGGTATCAAGGTAAAGGGTATGGACATGTTGACCCATCAGAGCAGGGTAGCGCTCCATAGAAGGATCTGCCCTGAAGTCTCCTGTGTGCAGGATAACAGTTCCACCAGGTAGACAGAAAAGGATCATTGTAGCACCTGGACAACTGAAACAAATAAGCAAAATACCCCATACAAATTACATTATTCCTTCATACTGAAACTGCCTTACAAGATATACCACCCTTCAGTAGCAGGATGGTGTGCAGAACAGCATTTTGAATCACAGTTACTATGCAGACAAATTTAGCTAGATATTTCTGATTTCGAAGGAACTCTGAAGCTAACCTTGTGGCCATAGACAAGCTAGACTTGAGTTCTCAGCAGAGATGAAGAGAAGAAAAAAACCACACCAACAGTAATCTAGCATTAACTGCCTTTTTGGGATGCTCTGTCTTCTTCTATGTATGACAAAAACGCTGCCTCAGTTGCAGTCTCTGAGGTACTATTACTTGATTTGAAGGGGAAACAGCACACCAAAAAGAGAAGCAGCATTCTCATGCAGAAGAAACAGAATTGTGCTATTGCAGATGCATCTTCATTCCTGCAGGACTTACTGAAGCATTTCCTTTTAAATTCTACTTGCAGATTTTAAACATTATCTTCCATGCAGAACTCCCTGGTTACAAATACAATTCTCTTATTGGCCACAGCAAATCCATTGCCCCTTGTGCAGTTAGTCACCAAAGCTGCCTGAAGGGCAAGTGCTCAGACTGAAAAAACAGAGTGGGACTATTCTGGACATGAATCATCTGTAAAAGGGTAAATGAGATCGCAAAACAAAGGAAAAACTGGCAAGAATCAGAGCTTAATGACAGAACTGGTGAACTCTCCAAAAAGATAAACTTTGTACCAAAGGGTTATATGCCTTTTAAATTGAAGCAGAGGATCAGAGAGACAAACAGGAAAAAACGAGAAGTGGCCAAATTACATAAGCAACAAGGCTTCCTTCATTCCCAGAAAGGGTTCTCAAAGGACTTCATGGAATCTTATCTCTCCAACTATAAACAAATCCTAAGATAAGTAATATTCAAACCAGCTGTGACAAATTCAAACCAGTGCTGCATTTCAATATACACTTCAGGAAAGGACTTTTCTTCTAGCCCATAGCTGAAAAAGGTACCAAGAGGCAGAACGGCAAGAGCACAGGGCTGGAAGTCAGGTGCTACTGAACTTTAAATCCAGTATTACACACAATGTCAGTGTAATGTTTGACAAAAATCTCACTCTTTGTCACTGAATCCAGTAGAAACTTTGATGCACATTTCAACAGGCTTTTCTTTAAAGTTCAGTTTTCAAAAGCCTGGCTAGGTTTTGTCTCTCCAAAGCACCACATTTTTCTTTAGCTGAAGATTTCACAATCTTTAGCTGAAACTACAGAAAACTAACATAGCTGAGAATGAAATGTAGGATATTCCCAACTAGAGAACAGCAAGCTTAAAAGTTATGGAGTTATGTGTGGTTAACACTACATACTCATTACAAGAGAACAACTAACTACTTTCAATAAATTTAGGCTACTACATGCCTAACTCACTTCTGAAGTGAAAACGCATGTTACTAAGAATCTGAAGTATTTTTACTCTTATTATCACGAAAACAAACTGTGGCTGTACAGCTATTCATCTTTAATATTCTATAAATACAAATATTCCACAGCAAATGCAATGATACTTACTGATTGGCATCAAGCAGCAACACTTTGATCCCATTCACTATACATTCTGTTTCCATCGGCAACACATGGATGTACTGCTCTTGGACTCGAAGTTTGCTCTTCACCAGATTGCCAGTTATCTGTAACAGGGAAAGGATTTAATATGGAATAGGAACAACATCTTAAAAAGGCTTTGAAAACCAGACTGTGTGACTTAGAAACGATGAGAAACGATGAGATCCTGGGTATAATTAAGCCTTTCAGTAGCGTTTCACCTCTCAAAGAGCAAACTGAAAAAAAGTTGTCTTAGAAAAGCAAACTTTTAAAAGTTTGTCAACAGGTTATGGATAGGAATCAGAGAGGAGCCAAACAAGGGGGAATAATACCTGTTACGGACTGCTAAGTCAAGAGCAGGTGGGCAAAGCCCTCTTTAAACAACTGAAGAAACGTCTAGTTCACAGGCCCTGGATCTTATCACAGAGGTCTGCAGCCACCCCAACACCTACTGGAAGGGCAGTGAGGGACACAAGCATTCCAGGAGACTTCCAGAGTAAATCAGAAGTAGTTCTTTGATGCAAGTTCTGGATGGGCTGATCAGACAAGGTGCCCTATCATGTTATGAGTAAAGAGTTGGTTGGACTTACGATAGCCAATGGCAGCCTTGGGCATTCAGTAGCCTGAAGTACAAAATACACAAGACCAGGCTAAAACAACTCCATTTAGTAAATGTGGAGAAGAGATGGCTGAAGTGGAATCTAATTTCAGACTTCCATCTCTTGATAGAATTATAGAAAAGATGGACCCAGATTCTTCTCCATGATGCATACAAAAAGAACAAGCTACAGTCTCAAGTTGCAAAAACAGACATTTCCATTTTGTATTAGGAAAAGAAAAATTCAGAGTAGGTAAGCACTGCGACACGTTGTGAGGGGACGTAGTGGAATCTGTCCTATATTCAGAATTTGACTGACAAAGGCTCTCTGCAGTCTGATCTAACTTTGAAGTTAGACCCACACTGCACAAGATATCAAACTCTGTGACCTCTAGAGATCCTTTTAAACATGAATTTTTCATGGTTTCTAGACAGGGAAGTTTCACTAATGTTCTTCACCAGTCAAATCAGGGTAAGAATTTCTTACAACAGAAACCCAGATTTCCCTATACATATCCATTGTGCCTGACCAACTCAACAATAGGACTTCTGATCTATTTACTTTTATCAGTGTAAAAGTGATTATAGTTGGATATGAATTTGATAATACCTAGTAATCTTGGGAAAACTTACCTTATTACAATAGACTGGAAACGTGAATTTTTTTGTTAGCCCACAATAATGATCAGAGTGAAAATGAGTAAGGAAATAAGCCGTACAGCCTTCTATTTCTCCATATTGGAAGGCATCAACTGCAAAACCAGTTCCTACAGCAAGAAAGGGAAGAGAAGCCAGTTGGTAAACAAGCATAGTTCAGAACTAGTTTCTAATATAATTTTTTTTAAATGCAAGCATACTGACAAATGTTTCTTTCGCATTGGGTTATACTTTCTTAAAACCGTCAAATAGCACATAGAACTAATTCATCTGCTGGCATTCAAATATTTTTCATTTTACATTATGCGAATTTCCCAGATCTAGAAGGACTAGAAATAGTTCTATTTACTAGTGGCTAGAACTTCAGGCATTTGCAACTCCAAAAAAACACAGCAGTCTGCTAATTAAAAATAACCAACCAAAAAAACCTCAAGTGTTTGAGAGGTACCAGACTTAAAACTTCAAGGAGACTGAATTATACTAGGCCACGGGGATAAAAATATATCATTAGCAACATAAAAAATACAGTCAAATATACTTCAAATGTAATAACAAGATTCAGAACAAAGACAATACACAAAATAACAAAGCAACTTTAAAACTGCATTGTAGGCATAGGAGTCTGCTCTACCAATTTACTGTACATGGAAAACTCTCTAAGCCCATGGAACCCATGATAGTGGTGTAGCCCAACAAAGACTTACAGGTCAGTCTTCAAGCAGCAGCTTGGCACTTAGGATCACAAATATACTTCTATTTGGCTTCCTCAAATATCTAAGACTAAGACAGTCCTTTAGTGGGAAATGGAACTGTGAGGATCTGAAGCTTTCTTAGCTGCTGATCCATCATCCTGCAATTCACGTAAATACTTCAGGAGATTCTGAGAAATTCTTGGCTGTTTCCTTAACTAAACTCTTCTGCTTGGTTTTCATTTCTTTGTTTTCACACTTGTAGTAAATCATATTTCTAATACTATTAAATTTCAAATGCAAAATTTAACTCAGTTCTTCTAGCCTAGCGTAAGGAAATAATTGCTACTGACAGCCCTATTTTCAGGCACAACTAAAGCAACACATACAACTAAATTCAGGAATTAGGGATGAACATTAACAAGGGATACATTAAAAAATAATTCAAGAAAGTAAATCCATCTTTCAATACTGCTTATGTTTTTAGCTCTGTCAAAAACATTCAGAAGCCAGTCCTTGAAATAATTTTCCCGACATAACTATTTCACTATTTTCAGCCATTGCTGACTCTCGTTCTTCAGTCACCTCATTTTGGAAATCTACAGCTACACAAGATTTTATCAACTTTGATGGAGGAAATAAAATTCATTATGAGCTGTAGTAAAAAATACTGAAGCCTAAAAATCAGAAAAAAAAAATACAACACTCAAGCAAAAATTAGTTAGCCTCTACAAAATGCAACCGTTAACTCTCACCTGGTATTTTCTTGTAGAAAGGACACTGTTTTTTTCTTTTTCCTTCACTTGTAGGTGAAGACAATCCTTTAATTTTTTTTCTCCACCTTTGTCGGCCACCAGAACGTACATCTGCAAAGGCTTCATTTTTACTTGAACTTTCTCCTTGAACTTGAACTGCTTCTACATCTTCCACAGACCCCTCAGCTTTCCTTTTTTGTTGTCTGGGCCTCTTCCCTTTGGGACTTACTGAACTTGATTTCTGCTTTCCCTCACTCAAACATGTCTCTCCTTTGCTCTCCTCTTTTACTTTGGGTTTTAACCCAAAGAAAACACCAATGTCCATTTGTTTGAGTTCTTTGGCAGAACTAGATTTAGAATTCATACTTGCTAAAGAAAGAGAAGTTTTAGAGGTGGGTCTGGGAAAGCATGCAGCAGCTGTATTAAGATTTCCTTCTTTCTCCACTACTGACTGCAAACTCTCCTGGCAAGCTGATTTTTCAATTGCATTGGCAGTCATTTTATCTTTATTAGTTAAAATGTTACCCGAGTCCCTCAAAACACTACTTTTCTGTGTCAGAAGAGATCCAGCACCTTCTCTGACTAGCAGTGGTGATGATGTCTCAGTAAAACTCACATACACAGAATTCAAAACACAAGCATCAGTACCTGCTGACTCCGTGTTACCTGCTTTAGCAGCAGAGGAAATCAATTCCAGCTGTTCAACCTCCTTGCAATTACACGGAAAGGAGGATCCACTGGTTAGTGCCTCTTGCTGACACTGATTATGTACACATGTTGAATTACAGAACTTGCTGTTCATGTAACTCTGAGAAACAGTTTTTACACTGTGATCTAGATGGTGCAATGCATTTATTTCCTCACACTGGGTTTTTTTAATTATGAAATTTCCTACTTTGGTATGTTCACCCTGAAGCTTCTGCTGTAATGGATGTCCACCAAATGTTTTAAACATTGCAGAATTAAACTCTTTATCTTCTAAGTTCTGGACTTTGAATAATTTATTTTGTGATATTTTTACTTTTTTCTCCTCTTGCTCAGTTTCCTCTTCACTTTCCTCAAAAATACTCAGTGGAGAGTAAGAAATTTCACAGTCACTGAAGTCCACTTTTGACTGTAGTAGACTTGGCTGATTCGTATCTTTCTGACTACACAGATCTTCTGTTTGACCTTCTTGAGAGGATGCAAAGTCAAAGAATTCAAATTTAAAACTATTATCTGTGGTCTGTGTAAGTTGCAATGTCTGTTGAGGCTTCTGAACATCTCCAAAACAGGAACTACTTTCAGTGATTGTATTTAGAGACTTCATGTGCTGCGAACTCTGTATCACCAATGTACCGCCATCATTCAGGACATTTTTTACATTATTAGATGGTTTCGCATTCTGTGACATTTCATTTACGTGACTTGGAGAACAGCTGGGCTTTGCAGTAGTAGAACATGTCATCTTCCCCTCCAAAGTGTTTGCTGAAGAGTTTACAATATAATCTCCTGCCCTGCTCGCTGCAAGCAGAAAATGGCTATAACGCTTGTAGTGGGATGGAATGGTGGAAGTGCACAGTAAACCATCAGGACACTCTATATGGAAAGAGTTAAACAGATAAGCAATGTTAATGTCTTTGCAAATATAGCTGACATAATTATTAAAATAAAAATGCCATGTGATACACAATTCAAAAGCTTTTTCATATAAATGTAGCTAGCTATTGGAGGACAGAAGGCACAAATAAAAACTAATTTTCAAGCCACCAAGACCACCTGCTCTGAGCTGACTAGAAATGAGAATGATACCAACCTAAAATCAAACAGTGGTTTGGTCAGCACTAAGCCTGAATTAATACAGCCCTCTAACAACAAGAGTACTTAACCCCATATCAGTGCTGTGCTAATGTAACTGTATGGCTTCTAGTTTAGAACTGTCTCACATGCAAGCAATGAGCTCAGAGCAGTAGCACCAGAAAAGGCCAACAGACACGTTTCAAAAAAACCAACTCTCAGTTCTGAATCAACCTGCAATTCCATTTCAAATTGTCTGCTGGGCTACACATTACATTTTTTTTAAAAAAAAGCAATGTATTTATTTATGTGAAAAAATTATACAGAATTCAGATGCCAGCAAACAGTCCATGGATGTTCCCTAACCTTTTTTTCTTGTGAGTCTGCTAGCCTAACTTTGATGATTTTACAGTGAATGTGTAAATCAATCAGAACGATTTTACATCTGTAAATTATGGAAGTAAGAGATGGAAATGAGGTGTTAACACATCTGTCTTAAATTAAAACCACTGACAAAATCAGAACTAAATGGCTCACTGTTCTGAAGAAGAAACGTCAATGAAAGTTATGAAGACATAAAAAAAGAAAGTGACTGTGTTACCTAAAACAGCCTTTACTCAAGTTTCCCGACTGTATGCTTTCTGTTTTTCAAAAGATATGAGGTGTATTAAGAACACAAATTGGATACCTGGATCTGTTCAGACATGGTATTTCCAGACATGAAACTTGCAATTGGAATGAGTCAGTTTTGTTCTTGTACAGAACTCAAATCAAAACTGTGCTGTCTCATGATACAGCAGTGTTGATGTATAATTCTGTAAAACATTTCTAAAGCTAACTGGATCAGGAGCTAACACTTCAAGTAAATTAGCCTAACAGACTGATTTCATTTTCCAACTGCCTACTGTGACTTGCCCAGACAAGTCACACAACAACATGGATACACGACATTAAAATTCATACCTAAGGAGAAAGAAATTTGGTGTCAAAAGCAGCAGCACCTTTATTGATGAAGGATGTTTTGCTGCCACTGACTTAGTAATTGAAACAGGTTCCATTATTTTAAAACGGTAAATACACACCTTCAGTTTATTGATCAACAACCATGAATCTTTAACATCACAGAGATTAGATATTAGATTCTAGTATGAGATTTTCATGATAGGTGTTCATGTTCTTCATAAGGAACCAAAAATCACATACAAAAATAAGACTGCTAAGTGATCAGTAACAGCACTCTAAAAATCATATCAGCTACCATCTCAGTTTTTGAATTAAATGTGAAAACCAAGGTTTACAGCAACATTATGTGAGAAGCCTTTAACTTTTCTCTGAAGGCTTTTTTCTTACTCTATTCATACCTTTTTCAATGGATCCTGGAGTATCCAAACATTCTGAAACGTGCCATCGAGGTGTCTGGACCAATAGCAAAGAGAAAGGCATCTGGCAGCTTGGACAGTATCCATCATGGATGGGCTTTGCATTTTGTGAGCTCTGTTCTGTCAGGCTACTCACGCTTTCCTGGGAGTGCACACTGCTGTCATCTTTACCTTGATCCACATCCTGATTTAGCCTTGATCTCTGCTCGGTTTTCTGAGGTGTATCAGTTTTTTCTACGGATTTTTTATTGCTATTTCTCTTTCTTTTTGGCCTAGACTTGCCATCACTTACTTTCTGCACAGGTGTCGAGATGCTCTCTGAGTTACTCTGATGCTTTTGCTTCCTAATGGATTTGTACTCCCAAATGTCCTCTTCCAATAAAGCATCTTCAGACATGACAACACGTGAAATATTCTCCTTTCTTTTAAGCAACAGTTCACAAATCTTCTGCTAATATGTTTTCTCTTCCCTCCTCCCTTCACTATTTGAAGAAAAGCACCTGAACCCCATTTTAAAAAAGCAACACTGGGCCACAAACCAAACAGCAATCCGTGATGGGACAGTAGCATGGTGGATCCTATCCTAAAAATAATTAATGAGCACCCCTTTGAATATTTGTTATTACTCCAGTTAAACAAAACCCAAGCCTGTAAGATGCGGGGTGGGCCATCTCCTTCAGGTACCCCTCTCGTAAGCACCCAACTCGGCCTCAGAAGGGAAGCCCAGCAAGCCCCGTCCCCTGACTGCCACCTCACTGCCCCGAAGATTTTCAAAGAAAACGACGAGAATTCAGCTACGGGACCGTTGCCGAGAGTCGAAGACGGACGGCGAAGGCCGACACCGACGCGGCGCTGCCGGGAGGGGCCGCGCTCCCCGCCGCTACCCCTCTCGTAAGCACCCAACTCGGCCTCAGAAGGGAAGCCCAGCAAGCCCCGTCCCCTGACTGCCACCTCACTGCCCCGAAGATTTTCAAAGAAAACGACGAGAATTCAGCTACGGGACCGTTGCCGAGAGTCGAAGACGGACGGCGAAGGCCGACACCGACGCGGCGCTGCCGGGAGGGGCCGCGCTCCCCGCCGCCAGCCGCCCCGTGCGTAGGGCCCG